TGTCTTCTCCCCTGGAAGCTGGAGCACTCTCCTGTGAAAGGCAAGCAGTGGTTCAATTTTCTTCTGGGTAAGAGACCCTAGACCTCAGGTTTCCTATTTTTCTGGACAAGGGCTCTTCTCTGCTAGCCAAACGAGCCAAAGTAGATCTCATCCATTGCTGGGCTTTAACCCTCAGGAGAGGACCTGATGTTCTGAATTTCGAGTGGATGGAGGTGTCTGCTGAGCAGTTCTGAACCTAAAGTCTGCTTAGACCTTTATTTGTAGCATTAGCATTGCTTTTTACAGCTAGGGATTCATATCAACTAGCTTACCTACAGAGGTGAAAATCTGAATTAGTTCTACCTAAAGACACCTGCCTCTCAATCAGTTATTTGGAGGCCTGATTATGTAGTCTGGGCAATTTGATGGAAGCTTATTTCTTGGGCAGTGTGAATACAGTTCAGAAGCAGTTACCAGAAGAAATTCTATCAGCAGGATTCATTCTTTGACAGTATGATTCATGGTTTTGCTTTTCTAAAACAAGAGACAACTATGAAAACAGTCTCGTAACCCAGCAGAGATGGAACTATAATAAAGCAAATTGGTAATTACAAAGGAGAGCACCCATACAATGGACATAACTAGCTTGCTAGTAACCTTTACCAATTAGAATAAAATGCACTGCTAAATTAATGACAGTTGTTCATGAGCTGTCGGTTAAGTTTTCTCAGGAGTATCTAGTAGAACATACCAGGAATTAAGAAACAGAGCATTTCTTATTTTGCCTAATGAGGAACAATGAGAGAGAGTGTAATCATCTAATTTCTAGAAAACAACAACACTACTTTCACTAATAAGAGGAGATGTAGAAAATATCCCCAGAGAGAAGAGAGCATCTTTCCACTTATACTGCTTTACGTCAGTGACACCACTGACTTGCATGAAATTGCTCTCAGTTTACTCCTTGTTCCAGTTTAGGAAGGAGTTTCAGACCCAAAGAGAGTAGGATTTACTTACTAGTAAACATTATTCTAAAAAAAATGAGAGGTGGTACCCACCAGGTTAATTCTGAGTTGATACCATACAGTCTTTGTCTCATTTAAAATTCAGGAGATTGTGAATAACCAGAAAGCTCTCTGTTCCCATAGGCAAAGATTCTCCCTTCTGCTGAGTTCCAGCTAGTAAGTAGTCAAATTCACTCCCCAGAGCCTCACTGTCCTCTTCTGGACATGAATGAGACCCTCTCCCTTCAGCACATGATGAGCGTGTTATGGGAAATCAGCATGAAGGAATCCAGTTCTTCTGTCTGTCCTGGTTCTGTACACCTTTTCTACAAGCTGAGTCTCAGAATAAAACTTATTCCCTAGTCATAAAACTCAGCAACAGTTAGTTCTGAGTTGAAAAAATAGGTTTGTTTTCAAATGAGTCATTAAAAAAAAACTTTGTCAGAAAAAAGCAATTTGTCCTCATATTTACACTGGAGAACTAGATATGGTTCTAGAGAAGTAATCCCAGATGTCCATATGTTCGCACTAGCTGTTACATTCCAGTTTAAAGTATTTACAAGCACATCTTGCAGGCAGGTGCAGTTGAGTTAAGTGTAAGCGGTGGTTCATGAAAACAGGAATGAAATATCAATAGCATTTCAAGGGCTTACTGTGAAGGTTGTAAATGCCTGTAGGAGAAATATATTAAGTGCTATTAGGTCTGTATACCTATGAATATAGAAGAGATGTTACCCTTTTGAGCCTCTAAAACCAAGCAGAGGCTTGTGTTTATTAAATGGTTTTCAGCTACTTTCTGATGATAAAGATGCATATTCTGCAGGTAAAAGATAATTCATAGAGGCATCTCATAATCAGAATCGGCTTTGTATTCCTACCTCAAATATACTTGAATTGCTTCTTTTTCCACTTCAAAAAACCTTTTAGACAGTACTTCATTTGAAACTAAGCTTCTTGAACTGATAATTTTAACTGTTTTAATTGACATTTTAGTTCTGAAGGAAATGTATTTCAAATTACAAATGCCAGTATCAGAAAAAATAGTGTTAGTTCCTGGAATTCTGATATTCTCTTTTCTGTTGTTGCTGTTACTAGTCAAAAAAATTAAGAACAACAGTACTCATCTCCTGTAAGAGAACTTTCAATTTTAAAAAGAATAGGAAATAATTAAAACATAATTAATTAATTTTCCACAGTAATTACTGTGTTACACCTTATTATTATCCTTATTTTACAACTAGGAAAAAAATCAAACCAACAAACACTTGGGCCCAGGGCGTGATTTCCCATTTTCTTAAAAAGGAACTGACTTCTGAAGCCAATGCAGTTTGTGGGAACTAAGCAAATGAGAACCTGCACATCTGATGGTGTCATGGTGGCTTTCAGATCCTTCCCTTGCTGTGGAGCTGCACTTGCTCAGCCAGTTTGTTTGAAGAATTGACTATGGAAAGCTGCACTTTCGTGTTTGTGTGAAACAGAAGGACACCTTCCCTTTGTCTCCTTCCTTTTTTTCCTTTAGGGATAATAATTTCATGAGAGATCTATTTATTTTAAGTACTCTCTGTAAGGTTTGATGTTATATGTGAAGTTATGTGATATGCAAAAGCTGAGGTCCTACACTTGAGGAGGTCTGGTGTGACTTCACAGATCTGAGTACTTGTAAATGCTGGTCCTGAAGATGTTTGGGAAGGAGTGAGGAGAAGGCCAGCTACAGCTTGGAGCATCTAAAGATTTCTTACCATCTTTCTTCACTATTATTAGGATCCATTATTATAGAAATAGAAATACTAAATAAAACTATTCACTTATATAAACTCCTTTTGTACTTCACTTTACTAGATCCCTGATTTGCAGTTATAATTTCGGAGTCCCTGTGTAATGTGTGTTAGGAAGCTCCAATCAGCCAGATATCCACACTGCAACTGGAGATGTCTCTGTGCTCAGTCTGCTGGGCATCAGCCATTCCCTTTCATGAGACAGTGTTCCGTTACCTAAAAGGCTTTGAAATCTGTAGCTTTTTTTTTCAGAATCTGTGTCATAATTTGGATTTCATTACGACTGTATGCTCTTTAAATTCCTAACTTTTGATTCCCCATTATGCTTCTACTACTAATGAAGCAACTCTAATTTAACAGAGCTACTTTTAATAATGTCCATATTGCGTGGAGATCTAACACAGAAACTTACTTTCATATTCTTTCACATGAATAATTATGTGCCTTAAAGCTATTATGTGGTAGTAAAATTGGCTGTCATAATTAATTAATTCATCCTATGAAAGGACAGAATAACACTGTCAATTATGTATTTAAAATAGTCTGAAAATGGGGGGGAGGTTAGTTTTGTTGCCATTGAGGTACATGTCTTAGAGGTAGGAGACATCTTCTCTCCAACTGTCATTTATTTTAAAAAAAATATATTACAAGGTTAATTGTTTCAAAATCTAATAGATACTCATTAAAAATTGCTAGAATTAATATTTTGTGGTTTGGTTTATAGTTTGTGTCCTCATGTCTCCAATCATCTACAATGTGCATAAAAAATGGGCCACCATCCTGCTTCTTTGCACAGAAGTAGTTAGAATACACGTAGATGTTTTGGTGATACTTTTGTATAGCTCAAATTTAACCATCAAATTTACATAGTATCAAGCTGAACAAAGACAAAATTATTCTGTAGATCGGAAACATGAGGAAAATGTGTATTTAGCATTCTTGAGCATCCACCATAATTTGTAATATAATTAGATTATGTACTTTCTAGAATAGTAAGCTAATTTTTTACTAATATTAGTTAAAATTAAAGTATGAACCTTTTTGTTCAGGTAAGTAAAGACAACAGAAGTAACTTTGTGCTTGTATGTGAGAAAAAGTAAACCCTTTCTAATCTGTAGTCAGATAAAATCATGCACAATACAATAGGGTTTGTCTTTATCTCAAATGTTTCTTACAGAGAATTCTAATATGTTTGAAAAGGCAATACTAAGCTAGTGAGAAAAAATTTTTTAAATAGAGGTAGATTTCTTTGTAACAATCAGGTAGAGGAAAGAACAAAATCAGATTTTACGAGTATGGTTAATTTACACTTATAGCCCCATTTTTAAAATCCTGTGAATTCACGTGTCTGAGCAACTTCTGTTTTTTCTACCACATGTACTAGATAGTGGTGACATCTGAAGATTGTGGACATTTAGCAGCATTCCTAAGAAGGTGGGGTTATTATTGCTTCCCCCACCTCAAGCGCCAGAGGTATCTCTTCTATAGGTTTGATAGCATGAGTAATCAAAAGTTATGAAGAACACTGAAAGCCATAAGGGCCAATTGAATTTAAGTGGGGAAGAGCTAAACTTCCAAAAAATTTTTTTTCTCATTGCCATAAGGCTGTACTTCCTGAACTTTAGTTCAGGGCTGGGTGTGAGATAAAACAGTGCTTACCACACAGACCAAAAAGCATAGGAGAAATTAAAATCCTCTTAGCTGCCACACCCAACCACTTGAAGAGTACACTGAAGCTTGGGTGAGATTTAGAGAAACAGAGAAAGTATTATAAGAAACTGTGGATCTTGGAGCAAGTCTGTTTTCACCTGGTCCTAGGCATCAGTAGCTTCATAGTGGCTGCTGGATTTTAAACACAACCTTACTTAAAGGTTTTTTAGATGGAACCCATATGACCATTTTCCTGCAGAATATGAGACATTTATTTATATTTTGCTCTTTTTGAAAATTTTAATTTAGCTAGGGGAACCTTCTAGTCTAGAGAAGGTTTCTGGGATGATGTAAACATTTTTCATTTAACTTTTCCCTTAACTTCTCAGGTGAAACAAATTGACTAATCTTCACATAAGACAAACAAACCCTACAAATTTCCCTTAAAAACAAGAGGAAATGAATGAGTTTGTCAAGTTCTAACTTACATAAATGTAGCATATCTGAGCTTCACCTAATAATGGAATTGCTGAGTTCTGTAGTGCTGGATAGTCAACTTAATCACAGACTTCTTGAATTGCTCTTTCCACAGATCTGTACCCCAGATTTAGTGGTGTTTCTGGCATGTTCCAGTCAAAGGCTGAAAGAAAGGTTACTGAAGCGTGCTGAACAGCAAGGGAGACCCGATGATAATCTGAAAGCCACTCAAAGAAGACTAATGAATTTCAAGCAGAATGCCGTCCCATTGGTTAAATATTTCCAGGAAAAAGGGCTAATCATCACAGTAAGTCTTAAAGTGTATACCTTTGAAAACTTAATTGTTGTTGTAGTTATACTTGACTTCTTAGACCTTTTGCTTTAAGATAGGCTAGATGAGTCAAATTATGTTTTAGGTATACACCATGGTTACTGAAAGGAAACTTTCAGTTTGCTGAGAGAGTATTTTCTGCAAAATTCAGGTGCATGCAGATGACATGGTAAGCACAATGTCAATTCTTTGCTGCAGGCGTAAATTGTTCTGCCAACTAGTTGCAAACCCTTTGCCCAGAAATTATGTGCATGAAAGAAGATCTTGTTTTGAAACGCTGGTTGCTATTACAGTGCCAGCAGTTTCATCCCTTGCAAATAGTCATGTACTTTTTGAATGGTTGTCTTGAGAGGGGAGGAAAGAGAAAAAAATCGCGTTCTAACACAAGGCAACAGAGTTGGATTAAATCAATACAGGTTCTTCAAGGAATTAATATATCTGGCCATTGATTGACTCCAGTAAAAAAAAGTCCTTTGATTATCTTATCGTGGTTTAAATACACCTTATTATGTGGTCTCCTCCAATCTTTAGCATTTCAGCTAAAATTTTTGATGACAAGAAAATTGGAATGTAAACAGTCCACTTGGATAGTGATTTCTGTGATATTTAGGGCAAGAGAAAATATCTCCAAACACAGAACATACCAAAAGCTGCATTCATAAATAAAGCCAGAAGTACTTTATGGAAGCAGGGACAGCAAGTACTGCTGGAAGATTTAAGTGTTTAGTGATGACAAATTCAATGAACAGTTGATAACGGTTGAATTATTGACATGTTCTAAATTGCAGACCGTGTCTGGTTGTAATAGTGCACATATGGTACCATGAAAGTAGATCTGGCCTGTTTTGTTTCTTTTGATAGCCTAAATAACCTAGGTAGTTCACATTGGTATGTTCTCCTCACAGCAAATATGACTAATTCTCTCTGCCAGTCAGATTCATGAAGGGCCAAAGCATCCTTAATTGCAAAGTCATCTAATGATGGTGGTAGCCTTAATAATGCACTTCAGCATCTTTCTGAATTTCAAAATGAAAATCCCAGGAAACTATTACATTGTTTTCTCCAGAGAATATCTGTTCTGTTTGAAGATTTTTATTAACTCTGTGTGGAAGGATAAGAGGACTGGAATTCTTGAAAGTAAGAAGTGTATATTTTGTGACATTTCTAAAGCCTTTACAAGTGCTCCTCCTACAGAAAGCATACTTAGCTCTTCAGGGAAAATGTGCCTTTGTAGATAAAGCATGTGGGATGTCTGGATAGAATTCCTGTTCTGTTATAAGACCTGTAAAGCCGAGGATGTTTTTCCTGTTGAGATTTTGTCTTCTACTTTTTAGCTCTGTTTGTTGACAGTTCTAAAGATTTGAATTGCAATATTCACCTTAGATATCTCTTTTCTTTTTGAAGAAAGCAGATGGTTGTGGTGGGTATGGAAATGGTAACATGGCATGTGGACATTATATTACTGTCCGCTACAGGACAAGGAAACAGCATACACAGAAAATACTGACTTGGCAAAATGTCAGAAAAGTCTTCAATATGAAAAAAATCTTTAACATTTGAATTTACTCCTTAATGATATGGTATCTACTCAAAGTGTGTTAATGTCATTTCACAGAGATCTAGAAATTACTCTAGATTTACTTTGGTGTAGAAGTGAAGAGAATTAGACTTTGGAAGGGAGACTCTGTTGTTCACTTCTCATTAGAGCTGCTACAGTGCAATTGCATTTCCCTTGTTGCAAAACCAGGATGCATTAGTAAAGCCAAGCCCTGAGAGTTAGATGTGTGAGTAATTTCATGGCCAGCGGGTAAAAGGATCTCTTTCTGTAGATGACAAAGAATATACATGGCAGACCCCTTTCCATAGAATTCATTGCTTATGGAAGATACATTTTGCAGTTGCCTAAGGCAACTAAGTTAGTGGGGGATAAATGAGAAAAAAGAGTAGCTAGGGAAGGAGTAATAAAAAGAGATTAAGCATGCATACTCCAGAGCAAGTAAGCAACTGAAAATTTCTACAAAAGGGCATTTTTTAAAACCACGTGACCTTGAAACAGAGTAAATGTGTGCTAAGTCCACATAGAAAACTACATAGTACTAGAGCAAGTTGTAAATTTTAAAATAGTGTTTTAAAAAAATCATTATTTTGTCACCATTTGCTCCTTTTCTTAGTGCCCAATTTATAGACCAGGATTATCTATAAAGTTTTGACATTCTTCTGACAATGTAACTTATTTTCATAGGTTAATTTTGTTGGAAATTCATTTGTCCAATGAGAAATCTAAGTATGTTTCTGCCAACTTCCTGTCCTATTCCTTTCAGCAAACATCAATGGAGATAACAGATGTTTTCTTACTCCAAATGGCTTTGATCCCATTGTCTTCATCACTGATTAACTTGAGCTTTCTTTTGGTTTTCAAAATAAAATCCAAACCATATAATTTTTCATAGCCTTCCATCAGTGGAAAAGACAGAGTTTTCTTAGAAAGCCATAAGATCCAAGGACCATTGCAATCTTCATCACCACCTTCTCCTGGTGGAAGCCTTGTATCTTGAACTTGCCTTTACTAGTATGTATCTGTATAATACACGTGTAATATTAACACATACATTTATTTTTTTTTCCCTACAGAAGGAGGAAGCAAGAAAGAAAACTGCATTTATCCTGCTGATTGTAATGTTGAACCTGGAAGGCACTGAAATATTATGGGGATGAGAGCAGTGTAAGAACTAGAACAGCATCAAATAGAATTACACTAGCCAAATTCGTAGAGAAGTGAATCCTTGAGGCAAGGTCAGGCAAGGTCAATGCTGACCAGGAGGAAAAAGAAATACACATTTTTCTTAAATGCCTACCTGCACCTTGTCACTGCTACTCAAAGGTCTAAATCTCAGACATTTATTCTACCTAGCATCATGATTCCACTCAAGGAAAAGAAACAGAACCATTTGTTCTCCATTATGGAGAGTTATTTTAGAACCACAACTCAAATTTTAAACATCTACTTAAATATTTTGTTCTTCATCCATAAACAGACTGAATGAGAAAAGAAAAATTCACTGAAATCTCACTAAATATGATTAATGAGCAGACATTTGATATAGTCTACTGTTAGACACTGTAAGCAAGAAAATAAAAATCTAAATTCCCAAAGAATATGAATTTTACTGCTCCAACAGTTTTTCCACACTAGGTTTAACATATTTTTGTTAATAGAATTAAAAAACACGTTCTTAATTTCAGATCTTAGTGGTTAGGTTGTTTAGGTGTAATTCTTTCCCTTATGTTTGGTTTTTTTTCCCTTGATCTTTGGTATTTTATACAGTACATAGTTTATCCTTGTTTGCTGCTCTGTATGCCTTATGTTTTCAGTCTGTGCCTGGTATCCTCGCTCTCAGAGTCTGATCCTGGTTTCTGTTCTCAAGGAAAGAAGAGAGGTCCCCACCTACAGTACTTCTAAGAAACGGGAAGATACAACTCTGTCCTTTCTGAAAAACTCCTTCTTTGGAATAATGAAGTTGGAATATCCAAGATTTTGGATTGTTGTTCAAATTGAATAGATCTGTAAACTTCATTATAATAAAGAAAGAGAAGTAAATATCTGATATTTCCATGAACACAGAGTCTGTGTTTAAAATTCTTTTTAGCAATCTGTCAGTAGATCTAACAAATTAAAATCTGACTTTACTTAAGTCAAATTTGATTTCAGAAAGTATCAAGACAATAGTAATAGATATCACAATTTTGGGCATGGAGTATATAAATAGATGCATATGCTGTCATTTGTTGTATCAGTAACTTAAAAAATCGTAGCACATTATATATTGTTTATCTAGACAATAACTAAGCTGCAAATTACCTGGGCAGGGAGGGGGGGGAAGATGTTATTTAGATTAAATAACAAAAGGGAGAATACATAAATGCCTAGATGATCTGCAAGTACTCTAGTATTTAGCAGAGAACTTCAGTTCTGAACACAGTTTGGTCCATTCTTGTATCCTTCCTGCCATCTAGCAAGTGTTAGAATATTATTACATTTGGTCTCAGCTGCTGACATGGCAATTGGTATGTGTGTGTACACAGCCATGCCCAATAAACCAAGGCTGCTATCAAGGTGCGGTCATGAATAGAGAACTTCAAAATAAAAGGGTCTGTGTATGCAAACTTCTAGACAGTGCTTGTTGTTCAGTTAAAAATGCTTAGGTGGTTCATATCATTCACCTCAGAGAATCATTGTCAGGTGCTTTTGTTATTTTTGGCTACAGTACTCCTAGAGATACAGTATGGTATCATTTCACTTTCTAACACTGATTTATAAGGGTTTCCCTCTTTTTTTTTTTTTTTTAATTAGATAATAATGAAAAAGGCAAAGAAATAAAAAAACCCTAATCCTATGTAACTAATTTACTTTAATGCTTTTAATGTGGTTCCTGTCTTGAGAGAAAGCTAGCTTGCTCTGAAAAGCTGTGCTGCGAGTTACAAACAATAAAAAACCAGTGTTTCTCCCTACCCCCACCCCTAGCACCTCCACCTAGATAAACTGTTGTTTCAGGAAAAAACTGGTCTGTGTTAGCTGAAGTTCTAGTCCAGCACACCTTTGTTGCAACTGAAAACTGTTTTAATGTTAATTTCAAAATACATTTCTCTTCTGGACATTATACTGATGTTTCATCATTATTAGACCTGCTGCTATGAACTACCTTGCTCTTAAGAACCATTGAATAAAGGTCAAGAAAATCACATTCACTGACCTTTGAATAAATTACTATGATGCAAAATTATTCTAATTAGGAAAATTTCTCATTTACATCCCGTCAGATGTAATTCATTCTACTGCATGGAAGTTTAAAGATCACACCAATACAGCTTGGTAGACTATAATGAACAAACCGTTGTAGAACTTGTATCATAATGTTCCTAACTCTAAGTCATAGACAAAATCTCCCACAGAAAGCAACCTCTTTGCCTACAAGAAA